GTAGGGCACTTGTCTGTATCGTAAACTCGTCTAGTGCGTAGGCGTTCCCTTTTCCTGTGCACAGGACGAGTTTACGAGACGAACACCATAGGAAAGCAAACTTGGGACGAGAGAGCATAAGAGACGAGTGAAACGCAGACACCAACGCGATGGCATACATAAGTGCTTGAAAATCAGAAGCCTCTATTCATACCTTTTGAGTCGTAAGTGGCTGGACCCCTCGATTGCGAACTCATGTTGCTACCTCATTCACGAAAAGATTGCCGATCAGATGAACTAGTTCGAGTAAGAAGTCCTTTAATAATTGACGCGTCCCGCCGACGCTACCTACATACTCTTTTGTTGGCGTTCCCAATCTTCTCAGGAAGCTATAGCAACTCTTTTTTCCACCTTCAAAAAATTATTTTGTGGAAAGGGTCTTCGGCCCACGGAATCAAGCTTCGGTCTCAACGTTAGAAGAAACTCTCTCTTGTACCTTACTGAAAGAAGTACCCTCACCTTCAAAAAGCCGAAGTGTGGGTGCAGACCAAACACCACAACTGACGACGGCCTCCAAGTAAATCTGGTTAGTAGTGGTTCATAGTGATAGCTGATTTTTAGTAAATGATAGTTGTAATTAGTGTCAACTGATCGAATACAACTGTAACAGGTTAATCATTTCATTGGCAAAAAACATTTGCATTTTCTGGAGGCCGTCGTCACTTGTGGTGTATGGTCTGCACCCGACACTTTCTGGCTTTTGAAGGGGAGGGTATGTTTTTGTAATTTCGTATTAAAAGCCATCAACTTTCTTCCGCAAGCTCTCACCGGCTGGTTTCACATTCCTCGAAGAATACTGGGAATATCTGGGTTGTGCCGAGAACTACGAACTGAAGTACTTTGGCGAATGCTTTGATCACATCAACTACACCCTTAAACAGGTGATTTTGCAATCCGTTAATTAGCAGAGTTCTCTGGAAATTACCACAGCTTCAGGAATCGTACGTACCATTCGTCATCGATGCGGTCCGTGTACTCGCAAGAGCAATATCGAAGTATATTACGGTAAGAAGAGTTGGCGTACAGCCAACTTCCAACCAAGCTAGCCTTTCTAACGTTTTCGATTTCAGGACGATTGCGGTCAGAAGGAATTTCATCGCTGCGATCTTTCGACGTCACGATTCAAGGGTGATCGTTTGCAAAAGTACTACAGAAATGTTTCTCTCAGTGGTGCGTGTTACACTCGTTTGTCTCACAACTAGGCTTTGATCCAATGTTGTCCAAAAGACGCGAAAAATGATATTGGGGATCACCATGCATTTGGCTGGCATTTTATATTGTACGTCCAGCCTTGGTTGGTTTGAGCTGCACATTGACTTGCGGCCAGACGACGTCCATGTTCCTAGGAAGACATGGTACATATTGTGAAATTGACTAAACCCTGGAATTTATTAACTTACCGGATTTTTTTTTTAAATATTGAACCCAAAAAAATTACGAGCTTATCCATAGTAGGATTAATTCTAGTCGAGCACCTATTGTGGTGTCGTTATGATTTTTGAGCTCACTCTTTCTCCCCTAACCGTTCTTCTTCTTCTTTTATTCAATTCTTGTCATTCCTCTTCTTCTCCCAATCTCGTTCTCTCTTCTCATTATTTTCCGCTTATTTCCCCTTTTCGTAGGAATAAACCCGTTTTCAGCTACGTCGCCTTCTTCTCCCCTTTTTGTTCTTTCTTCACCACTTATCTCTCTAAGTTTACTTTTATGTGACTCGTCTGCCTCTGATTCGGCCATCATTTTCTTTGAGAATAAGGTTTATTAGTCTGAGATAGAGAATGGGCACTTGTGGGGTAAATGGACAAACTTACTTTGTAAAAGGTGAAGGTTTAAAATTTCATGTCCTACTTGGCGCAATTTTTTATTCAAAACAGTGCAGTCCTTTTCGTTGCTGTTACGTGTTCCAAAAGTAAGGGCTTCCTCATTCTATTTGAACACTTTCTCGTTCTCAATCACTGAGGAATGAATATAGCATCCGGTGTTGGTTTAGGATGCGCCACGCGTTCGACATCCATTCCATTCCCATTCAATAGTATCCCTTTACAGACAACGAGCCACCTTTGATTCGATGCCAATGGAGATGGTATTGGACGCTATGATGTCTTCCAACTCGATACTAAAGGGATCTACCATAAGGTGAGCTAGCCATGTTAGCTTCATCATATGAAAGGTTTTGGAGCACTGAGCTTCCGCACATATTGTCACTTTCGCGAGCCGTTGATCACTGTAGTATTTCTTGTCAATACATCGTTCGTTCCCGGTGCGTAGGATTACGAATTATGAGCAGTGGTATTGAGAAGTTACAGTATTAACTATGAAGCCAAATATAAGCCAAAGTAAGAGAAGAAAAACAGCTACAATCAACAATTCCATCTTCTCATCTCTGGGCCTCGGCTTCAGCCCTTCTCTTGTTTTCACTTCTTGAAATTTTTCAAAATTTTCGCTTCGCTAGATCCCAGAAGTTGTGGATAAAGCATTTCTTATTACAGTTTATATCTTTGAGTTACTTCCGTCTCTCGTGATCAGTTAAGAGTGGTGCTGGTCCCTAAAGCTATTACCGCGTTGCTCAATCTTATTGATCTCAACCCTATAGTGTCATTCAGGTCGGCAAATGGCGTTCATCCGAGGATTCCTTCGAGGTGCGCGTCGAGCAGGTACGGCGTGGCTTCCGTCTACCACCTGGCGTCAGTCCCTACTCGGTCTGTTCAGTGGACTGCCCACGCGGACATTATCGGTACGGCGATAGATGTCAACACATTTTTTGATAATTTCACTGCTGGAGTTTGCTGAAACATTGTCGCTAGGATGTGAAATCCATAAGCACTCCTGTATAGTCGCCCTCGTTCGTAAGAGTGTATAAGTTCACCTACCCAAAGGCAGTGATTACGACAAAGATAGAGCGCATCGGGGAAGCATGTGAACCACACGAATCAGTTACTTGACTAGCAGGAAACGTGGTGTGGTGTCTTTCGACGGTCGCCGGGGAGTGCTCTCCGCCACACGAAGCAGTTACTTGGCTGCCAGGGAAGCGAGGTGTGGCGCTTTCACGACGAAAGGTGCGCTGGTTGCTGAGCAGGACTTCGAAAGCACTCCGCCCCCAAAAGCGATCCGCCCACTAGTTTAGTTGGTGATTTGGACGAGCTGCGTTGCCAGCAGCGGCACAACTGGAGCATCTCGATTGGAGCGTGGTTTGGCATGGTGCCACCAAACGCGTTGCGTTCATACGTCCGCTTTCTGAGCTGTTACCTGTTCATGAGTGAAAACCAACGGCCAAAAAGGGGGTCCCGTTTTGCGTTTTCTTGACGGATTTCTTCGCCACTGGCGTACCATTGAGCACCACCACGTCTCCTCCAACCCTTCTTGAACCTATCATAATCGCCACCTTTAAGCGACAGCTGCGTTGGTCACTTGCTGCGCCGTTCGGAGGGTTTCTGTAGGTCAATTACGGTGATTAGCAATTTCTTCAAATACGACACCCATTTCCAGTTTGGTAAAAAAAAAACTCCATTATGACCCACCCTCATCCACCTTCACTCCAGGTTTTTCCACAGGACCGACTCCAGCTTTCACATTCTCAGAGAAACCATTGGATGGGAGGGACCTGTGTATATGCGTAATAAGTGCACTGAAAGCGGGAAAAATTCGAGAAATTCTTGAGAGTATATTGCAGAAAAACTCCTGGTCGCAGGGCTGATCCCAAACAACCATTTCAACACTGTCTCTACGGTGTGCTCCTCTCCGATCAGTTAAGAGATACGATGATTTGGTGAAAATGTCCTCAATTAGTGGTGTAAATTTCCTCAATTAATGCATAATCCCTGCTGAACTTCTCATGAATAAAGGCGCGAGGCGAGGTCATCGCACGCCACTTCAAGAAATAACACCTGTCTTTCCTTTATACTCACCCGTGCGTAGTCCCCGGATAGCTTGAAGTTTTCTGTTAGATAACCATGAAATGATCTTCGCCATAGCGACTGTAAAGCTATATAATCCTAGCAATCGGCTGCGATTTTGAACACAATAGGTGGTTTATCCG